ACAGCATCAGAACTCTAAGCACGTGAGAGAGAGTGGGAACCTCCCAGAACATTGTATTGTGCCACGCCCAACAGAAATAACCCAGGTGGGCAACTTTAAAATCAGGATCTCCTCAGTTGCTAATAGCAATTCCCACCTTGGAGTTTACAAAGACTTATGGGTAGAAAAGCCACACTAAGTAATTTAGTACACCGCAATCATGATGCTGCCTATTGGTCCAGTTGTGAGGATTTTTGTTTTCTTTATATTGAAGTGTAATCCATACTGCAGACTGTAGTCTTCAGTCTTCATCAGTAAGTGCTTCAAGTCATCCTCACTTCTCAGCAAGCAAAGTTGTGTCATCAGAGTATTGCAGGTTAATGAGTCTTGCTGCAATCCGGATGCCATGTTCTTCTTCATGTACTCCAACTTACCTGATTATTTGCTTAGCATACAGATTGAATAAGTATGGTGATTGGAAACAACACTGACACACTCCCTTCTTGATTTTAAACCATATAGTGTCCCCTTGTTCTGTTCAAACAAAAGCATCCTGGTCATTGTACAGGTTCTTCATGAACACAATTAAGTGTTCTGGAATTCCCATTCCTCTCAATGGTATCCATAATGTGTTACGATCCACACAATTGAATGCTTTTGCATAGTCAATAACACACAAGTAAACATCTTTCTGGTATTCTTTGCTTTGAGCCAAGATCCATCTGACATCAGCAGTGATATCCCTCATTCCACATCCTCTTCCGATCCAGCTTGCATTTCTGGAAGTTCTCTGTTAATATACTTGTTCTGGTTACCGAGTGCTGCTCTGACAAGAATATACCACAATTGGGATGGCTTAAACAAACAAGAGTTTATTCTTACAATTTGGAGGCTTTAAGTCCAAGTTCAAAGTGCCACGCTCTAGGGGCTGGGTGAAAGCCCCTCCACCTTGGGATCCAGCTCTGCCTCCTGCCCCAGCCCACTGGAGCTAGAGGCATTTCTTCACTCAGACAGCTGCAGGCTGCTGAGGCTGAGAAGCCCTAAGGTTGACAAGTAAAAAGGCACAGTCCTGATGTTACCCAACCACACAGCAGGGCATTAACTTAAGTCCATTGTATGTCCCAAGGTCAGCAGAGCATAGCAGGCTGCTGAGCAACGACACGGCTACATGCAGGGTCCAAGTGTGCCATAGGCTAGAAACCATTCCCAAGGCTCCTCCTTACATACAGGAAGCAGACCACATCCCAAAGGCACTACTCAGCTGGTTGTGGTAGATCCCACCATGGAGTTGATTGCCAGTCTTGTCATGGGGAATAACTACCACCAGCTGCCCAGCCACTCAGCCAGGCCCAGCCAAGTTGACACACAAACATGACTACCACAGTACTGCTGCCACCATTTTTTAATTATCTTCAGTAAGATTTTACTTAGGAGCTCTGGTAGCGTAGTGCCTAAGGCACGTGACTGCTAACTAGAAGGCTGGTGGTTCAAACCCACCAGTCACTCCTCAGAAGGAAGTTTGGGCAATCTTCTTCCGTAGTGATACCACCTCGGAAACCCAAGTAAAGGTCACTATGAGTCAGGTCCGACTTGATAGCACGTAACAACACAACAACAACAACAATGATTTTACTTACGTGCAATATTAATGATATTGTTCGATAATTTCCACATTCTGTGAGATCCACCAGCCATACCTCGGAAGGAAGGTTGAGCAATCTACTTCCGTAGTGATACTGCCTCTGAAACCCAAGGAAGGGTCGCTGTGAGTCAGACCTGACTCGACGGAAGTGAGTTTGGTTTGGGGGGGGGGGATCACCTTTCTATGTAACAGATACAAATATTGATCTCTTCCAGACAGTTGGCCAGGTAGCTGTCTTCCAAATATCTTGGCATAGCCAAGTGAGTGCCTCCAGCAGGGCACCTGTTTGCTGAAACATCTCAGTGGGTATTCTGTTAGTTCCTAGAGATTTGTTTTTCACCAGTTCCTTCAGTGCAGTTTTGACTTCTTCAGTACGATTGGTTCTTGATCATATGCTACCTCCTGAAATGGACAAACATCAACAAGTTCTTTTTGGTACAGCGACTGTGTATTCCTTCCATCATCTTTTGATGCTTCCTGCATCATTGAATATTTTGCCCATAGAATTTTTCAGTATTGCAAGTCGAGGCTTAAATTTTTTCTTCAGTTCTTTCAGCTTGAGAAATGCCAAGCATGTTCTTCCCTTTTGGTTTTCTAACTCCAGGTCTTTGCACATTTCACTATTATAATTGATTTTGTCTTTTTGAGCTGGTCTTTGAGATCTTCTCTTCAGCTTTTTCTTGTCATTTCTTCCATTTGCTTTAGCTATTCTCCATTCAAAGGCAAGTTTCAGAGTCTTTTTTGACATCCATTTTGGTCTTTTCTTCCTTTCCTGTCTTTATAATGACCTTTTGCTTTCTTCATGGATGATGTTCTTGATGTCACCCCACAATACCTCTGGTTTTCGGTCATTGATGTTCAGTTTATCAATTCTATTCTTTAGATGGCTTCTAAATTCAGGAGGGATATAATCAAGGTGATATTTTGGCTCTTGTGGCTTCTTTTAATTGTCTTCAACTTCAACTTGAATTTACATATGAGCAATTGATGATCTGTTCCACAATCAGCTCCTGGCTTTGTTTTAGCTGAAGATACTGAGCTTCTCCATTGCCTCTTGCTGCAGATGTAGTCGATCTAATTCCTGTGTACCCCATCTGGTAAAGTCTACATGCATAGCCACTGTTTATGTTGTTGAAAAAGGTATTTGCAGTGAATAAGTTTGGGTCTTGCAAAATTCTGTCATGTGATCTCCAGTGTCATTTCTTTCACCAAGGGCATATTTTCCAACTACCAGTGATTCTTTTTTGTTTCTACCTTTTGCATTCCAATCACCAGTGATAATCAACACCTCTTAATTGCATGTTCAGTCAATTTCAGACTGCAGAAGTTGGTAAAAATCTTGAATTTCCTCATCTTTGACTTTGGTGGTTGTTGTGTAAATTTGAATAATAGTAGTATGAACTGGTCTTCCTTGCAGGCATATGGTTATTATCCTATCATTGACTGCATTGTACTTCGGGACAGATCTTGAAATATTCTTTATGATGATGAATGCCATACCGTTTCTCTTCAATTTGTCATTCCCAGCATAGTAGATCTTATGGTTGTCTGATTCCTAATGGCTAAACCCAGTCCATTTCAGTTCACTAATGCCTAGGATATCAATTTTTATGCATTCCGTTTCATTTTTGACAGCTTCCAATTTTCCTAGATTCATACTTTGTACATTCCATGTTCCAGTTACTAATGGACGTTTGCAACTGTTTCTTCTCATCTTAAGTCGTGCCACATCAACAAATGGCGATTCCAAGAGCTTTACTCTAGCCACATCATTGAGGTCGGCTCTACTCTGAGGAGGCAGCTCTTCTCCAGTTGTATTTTGAGTGCCTTCCGACCTGAAGGGCTCATCTTCCAACAGTGTATCAGACAGTGTTTCAGGGCTATTTGTAAAGTTTTCCAGTAATATGTCAGACAGTGTTTCAGTGCTGTTTATAAGGTTTTCACTGGCCAGTTCTTTGAGAAGTGGATGGCCTCTTCCTTCTTCCAATCCTATCTTATTCTGGAAGCTGTACTGAAACCTGTCCACCATGGGTAATCCTGCTGGCATTTGAAACACGCTGGCAAAGCCTCCAGCCTCACAGCAACATGCAGGACACCACAGTATGGCGAACTGATGACAGACGATTTCATCTCCCTTGTTGTTGTTGTTATGTGCTGTCAAGTCGGACCCGACTCATAGCGACCCCTCCTTGGGTTTCCGAGGCAGTATCACTACGGAAGTAGATTGCCCCATCTTCCTTCTGAGGATTGGCTGCTACCTGCTCACTTCCTGGTCTCCTTCAGCGGTTCCAAATGGCTGCCGGCTACCTGATATCCCTTAGCTATTCCAAACCACCACAGAACAGTGTTATATTAAGTTATATTGAGCATCAGTTAAATTAGGTTGTGCTATTTGAAATTGCCAATAATTTGACTTGATTTTGACCCATGAAAAGAGAAAGCTAATTGTGTTTATTTGGAGAAACAGTCATAATTTCAGGTGTTTATATGTTGTTATTGTTATCGTTATGTGCCGGCCATTTGGACCCGACTCATAGTGACCCCTCCTTGGGTTGCCGAGGCAGTATCACTACGGAAGTAGATTGCCCAACCTTCCTTCTGAGGAGTGGCTGGTGGGTTTGAACCTCCAGCCTTCTGGTTAGCAGTCAAGTGCCTTATATGTATGCTGTATTCAATTCAAAGTTAATGTTCAAATTGTGCATATTATATATTTTTTTAAATAGATTTTCTTTTAGTGCATTTTCAATCCCCTGGAAAGTATCATGTGTTATGTATTGTTTCGTTCTGTAGTATTAAATGGTATCCTTTCTCCTACAAAACAAAAGCCAGGAGACTTTGACTCATCAGATTTTATTTAAACTTCTCATTTTAATTTTTGCTTCTGTTATTTTTCCTTCCGTCTCAGTATTAGCCTCTGATATATCTGACCCTTGTAGGGGATATATAAAACAGCTCATGATTTTCAGTATTTTGTATTTGTAAAGAAGTTTTAAAGTTATTGACATGATTTACTTGACAGATTATACATTATATATGCAACATTCTTTTAAGAGTCAATGATTTTAATTTACAGAACGAGAACTTACTTTGGAAGTTGAGAGGATGAGGCTAGAACATGGAATAAAACGTCGAGACAGGTCACCTTCTCGTTTAGATACTTTTCTGAAAGGCATAGAAGAAGAACGAGATTATTATAAGAAAGAGCTGGAAAGACTCCAACATATAATACAACGAAGATCTTGCCTTATAAGTAATTTTGCACGTGAAAAACCTCAAATTTTAAAAACACCAGAGAAGGTAATATTCCTTTATGACAGTATCTAATAAACAAACTTTTCTGGTTTATTATTGTATTAAATGTAACTTTATGCATACTTGCTTTAAAGAACTCTTTTAATTTTTGTTTTTGTTTTTTTCCATGACCTGTACAGTATAAACATTGCATAATTAGTTATAAAGTATGTTACTATATCAAGGTGGTGTCATTGCACTCTCCTGGGCTGGGCCTAATCCATGCCAGACAAGGGGCGGACATTCATGGTGAATGGGACCACTTTTCTCACTCTGCCCACAGGCCCCTGGCCTCTCCTTCCCATGCATTCGTGGTGTATGGAAGGCAGGGGTGCAGAATCTGGCCCAATCTGGCCCAAACTCGTTTACCTGTCCCTTACTTCATGGTAGCAGAGGCAGCAGGGTCCTCTGACCATGCAGATATCTCTCACCGGTCCTCATATGTTTTGCAAAAAAAACTAAATAACAATAACGTAAGTGTAAAGGATTACATACTGGTTCCTGAAATAAAAGATTAAGTAGGTGAGGCATGGTAGGAGTGCAGAGGGCATCTGAGCTTCTCTCTAGAGACCTCCTCTCTCTCTAGGCACTTCTTTCTGTATCACGTGCATTTTCTTTTTTAAAGCATAATGACTCTGTCCACATGGCAGGCAACATGGCTTCATTAATTCCCAGCCGTGGACCAGTCAAAAAGGTTAATTACATTGTATTAACCAGGCATCTGCTATATTAACCATATGGAAGAAACTGGAAATGAATACTGGGTAGATCATTCCATTTTTTTCATTATAACCACACTTGCAAATTAGTAGTCTAAGAATGTTCACTTTGTATTTCAGTTAATTGATACTATTTTATGTGTATTACTTAAAATTAACCATGCCTTATGAGAGGATAAAATCATTTGATTCTATCTTAGGTTATAATTATTTTCTTACAATTATCATTTTGAGTTCTTCAGATTTTTCTTTTTTAAAAGCTTTGGAGCTACCAGAGTTCTAGAGGCATGTACGACCATACAGTTATCTACATACTAGGTAAAGTTAGAGGGAATTGGGGGAATGTAATTAAAGCACAGACCACTGGATTTCAGACTTGGCTAAATACACCAATTCCATTCTCTATCCCATGAAGGTTCTATGGACTGCAAACAGATTTGAGTCATCTTCTTATTAGACTTTGATTTCTAACCTTATTGACTAATGGGTGAATTTTATATATAATTGTCAATGTAAACACTGCTATGTTATCTGTTATAAACAGGATTAGTAGGTAGGAAAATAAAGTATAGGTTGATTTATATGTTACTGAGTTCTTTAAAAAATACATATCTACTTGTTGTTATGTGCCATCGAGTCGGACCCAACTCATAGCAACCCCTCCTTGGGTTTCCAAGACAGTATCACTACGGAAGTAGATTGCCCCATCTTCCTTCCGAGGAGTGGCTGGTGGGTTTGAACCGCCAGCCTTCTGCTTAGCAGTCAAGTGCCTTAGGCACTGTGCTACCAGAGCTCCTACATGTATACTTAGAACAACAAAAAATAATTTTAAGAATACCTATATATTGAAGACATAGATATAATAATATATAATAGGAGCTCTGGTGGCACAGTGCCTAAGGCATGTGACTGCTAACCAGAAAGTTGATGGTTCAAACCCACCAACTGCTCCATGGAAGGAAGATGGTGCAAGCTATTTCCGTAAAGACTGACTGCCTCGGAAACCCAGTGGAGGTCGCTGTGAGTCAGAATACTTAAGACTTAGGAAAAGAAAATCACTGAATTGACGGTTTTCATTGTGTAGAAGAATCTTGTATAAAATGGTTGATCAGTTTAATCAACTGCTTATTAAATAGGACTGAGTACATAAATTTCTCAAAGCATTTAATCTAAATATTTGATTTAGTGGATTCACTCTTGAAAAATCAATAAAGAATATGGTGAAGTACTGGGAGAATTATTAAAATATTTTACTTTCTGAAATTTTATAATGTTACTGAATGCAGATAAGGAATCCATTTTCTAAGCTCAGGAATGCAATGTGTTCAGAGCATTTTAGAATCCCAGTCACAGATTGTTGGCATGGTAGTGGGTGATGGGTAAATAGATATGTAAAATGAGTGGGGTGAAAGACAGTTGTGCTATATGAATTAGAGGTACTTGCCTTGTCTGAAATCAGGTATTTTAAGCATGTTCAAAACCCTGTTGACAAATAACAAAGACCTCGCTAAAGCTGGATTAGATATAAGTCATGAGCTTTCAGCCTCTGCTTTATGGTAAATTTAAGCATAATTTAGGAGCTCTGGTGGTGTAGTGCCTAAGGCATTTGACTGCTAACCAGAGGCTGGCTTTTAAACCCACCAGCCACTTTTCAGAAGGAAGAATGGGCAATCTACTTTCATAGAGATACCGCTTCGGAAACCCAGCGAGGGGTCACTATGAGTCGAATCAACTCGACAGCAGTGATCTTTTGTCTTTTATTGGTATTGTAATAACTCAGAAAAATGTTGACATTTGTACTAATCAGTGAAGACAATACAACCATACACCTATTGTCTGTCTATAGGGAAGCGCTGTCTCCTTTCACCTGGTCCTGACCATGGTTCTTAACTGTGAGTTTTTAGGATAGTAATGGAATTAGATTGGAGTTTGAAACCTGATCTGATTTCCACCTCCACAAACTGTCCCTATGATCTTGGAGAAGTTACCTACACTTGCAGCCCAGGTTTCCTAATCTGCAAAGAGAAGAAAAGTATCTACAACTTTCTGTGAAGAGGAGATGAGATAATTTGCGTAAGGGCTGTTAAGGATTGATTCATCATGTCTCCCAAAAAACTGTGTGGCAGAATTCTAACCACCACTGTAACTATAACTGTGGATATAAGCCCACTTGGGAATAGATATTCTTTGTTAGGTTAACGATGCCATATATGGTATGTTTTGAACCTAATGAATTTAAAGACACAAAAAGCACATTAGACACAGAAGCAAGCAGATGGGGGGAAGATAATTCCATGTGCAGATCTCCAAGGAGTGCAGAGAAGAATACCAGGCTAGAGAAGCTGAGACAAGGATTTTCTGCCATAGTGAGCAGAGAGAGAGCCTTCCCCTAGAGCCAATGCCCTGAATTCGGACTTGTAGCTTCGTGAACTGTGAGAAAATCAATTTCTGTTCTTTAACATCACCCACTTGTGGTATTTCTGTTATAACAGTACTAGCAAACAAAGTCAAGGGCCCAGTGCAATGCCTAGTGTCCAGAAATGTGTCATTTCCTTATTATTTGCTGTAGCAACGTACAACAGAAAAAAGGTAGTAACATTGTAAACTGAGTGTCTCGGGGAGAATGAGGCAGTGGTGGATAGAGAGATAAAGAAGACACAGTTCCTGTCCTGATAGCCTTCAGTATTGTGCACTTGTGTGCATGGACTTGTGTGTGTGCACGTGTGCATGTGTTATGTGTATGCTAGAAACAATGTGGTTGGGAAAGGGAGTGAAAAACAATTCATATACAGTAACTAAAAATCTACATGCAAGGTATATTTAGAGAAGACCTAAGAGTTCCTCCTTAAGGTCTGTCAGTAAATTTAAGGGATTTAATACATTATACCAGGTACCATGCTGGGCCCTGAAGATATAGTAAATAAGACTGTCCCTCAAAGTGCTTACATTTTATTGGTGAAGACATATATTGAACACAAAATCTTATCAATAACTTTATAACTTATAAATGTTAATGAAAAAGAATACAGGAAAGATAGATCTAAATTAGATTGGGTATCCTGAAAGGACTCCTTAGGGAAAGATACCTAGACAATAATGGAAATACATTCATTGAGTTCTTCTTTTCTAGAATTTATAGAAAAGATGTGTCTTTTCTATAAATTTTTTTCTCTAGATATGCTAATACTATTGGTTAGGTCACAGATTTTCTTTTATACTTATTTAAACCTTGATTCGTCCCCAAACCCTAATCTGCTTTTGTCCTATGGTTTCTGTAAGTCATCTTCTCTAGGTAGCTAATCTCATCCATTATGCCTTAGTTTTGCTTGTTTGATCAAGAAAACAGGGTTTCAAACTGGTTCAAGAGGATTCGGTCATGGGTGACGGAAACAAGGGCAGCATACATGCTGCAGAGCAATCAAACCTCCAGTGCATTGGGTTTTAACCTAAGTAGGAAGCAGGCAGCGGTGCCCTGCTCAAAGAGGGCCACTAACCACATTCAAAGTGGCATTGTTTAGCCCTACTTGGGGCTTCTACATTTGGTATTTCAGCATTAATGATACCAGTAGATCCCAAATTTATGTTTACCACCTTTATTTTCTGTGACAGCTATGAAGATACAGGGGCTCTTTAATTGTACCAGTGTAGTAGATGTATTCTTTTTTCAGAAATGTTGGAATTATTTGCGTATCCAGTGAATATCTTTGATGTTAAAGAATCATTTAACATTTATCTAATTGCAAATCTGACCTCAGGTAGGTCTGAAGCTGGGCCAGTTAGGGGTTGATGTGCCTGGAACATTTATCTTAGTTTCAGTCACAAAAAATACTGTGCTAGGCTGTTAGAAAGAGCTCTGGTGGCATAGTGCCTAAGGCATTTGACTCTAACCAGAGGGCTAGCGGTTCAAACCCACCAGCCACTCCTTGGAAGGAAGGTCGGGCAATCTATTTCTGTAGTGATACCATCTCGGAAACCCAAGGAGGGCTATCTATAGGTCGGATCTGACTCAACGGCAATATGTTGCGTTAGGCTGTTACAGTTACTTGCACTAAGTGAGCAGGCACACATACGTCCTTCTGGCCCTTTCCCTGGAGAGAATTATAAACTAATGGTTCTCAAAAATCAACATGCATCAGAGTCACCTGGAGTTGGTGTTGGATGGACCCCACATTTTATATGCCTAACAAGTTCCCGGATGCCGATACTGCTGGTCTGGGAACAACAGTTGACACACAACTAGTATAAACAATTCTAGGAGAATAACAGTTGAAGAATCTAGTGGAATCTGGTCAAGTAGTATCATGGGCAGCTGGTTTCCTTTCTGGAAACTTGAAGACTGGTGAACTTGAACGCCAGGAAACTTGCCCTAGGACTGTCAGTGCTCTTGTCTCCTGCTTTCCATTTTGATTAAAAAACATGTTCATAGCTACATTAAGGAGTCCCTGGGTCGTGCAAATGTTGAATGTACATGGCTGCCAACCACAATATTGGAAGTTCTTCTGGAAACTTGAAGACTGGTGAACTTGAACGCCAGGAAACTTGCCCTAGGACTGTCGGTGCTCTTGTCTCCTGCTTTCCATATTGATTAAAAAACATGTTCATAGCTACATTAAGGAGTCCCTGGGTCGTGCAAATGTTGAATGTACTTGGCTGCCAACCACAATATTGGAAGTTCAATTCCAAGCAGAGATGCCTCTGAAGAAAGCCAGACGATCTACTTCTGAAAAATCAGCCCCTGAAAACCCTTCGAGCACAGTTCTGCTCTGACGCACACGGCGTCGCCATAAGTTGGAATGGACTCATCAGCAACTGATTTCCTGGTTCTAACCAGCATCCTGTGACACCTCTGTGGTGATGGCTACAGCACTATAGTATAGCAAAGGATAACTTCTGTTTTCTAATTATGTTTCAGGGTGATTACAACTCAGAAATTCGTCTCATCACAAGAGAAAGAGATGAACTTCATTGTATGCTAGAAAGATTTGAAAACCATATGGAGGAAATACAAGCCAATGTTAAATTATTGACAGCAGAAAGAGATCAACTAAGTGTCTTATATAATCAAGTAAGGAGTTAATTATAACTAAGTCAAAGGATTATATAGAATCAGTTAATTATAATGAAACCAGCATATGTCTTTCATATTACTCTTAATATACACCTTGCGATGTTCCATCATAATTAGAATTATAGTCATTTATACTGTAATCCTACTACCAAAGCAGAGATTTTCATAATTACTCTTCTGTTCTAAATTATCTGTGTGTCAGGTCGGTTAGAACTAGTTTCCTTCTAGTACTACATGGAGCAGGTCTCTGATTCTGAGCCAAGGTTATCCTTGGGATTCAGACATGTTGGGACATGTCCAGTAGAACACTCAGTAGAGCACACTATTTAGATATATTGAATGTCAAGAAGTTAGCATTTAGTAAAAAATTAAAAATCTGCTCTAGGGAAGAGGGTATCGATATAGCTTGGCCCAGTTACAGAGCCTCAGTTGTCAGAGGGCAGGCTGAGTCAGAGCAAAGCATGGTGTTTGTCACCTAAATTTGTTTCCATGCCAGTCTCCCATGAACTCCTACTGCTACTTTGAAAGGGGAAGGACATGCAAGTTAAAGATCAAATCGAAAGAGGTGTGTTCACGTTTTGAGCTTTTCTTGGGTTCTGTAGTACGAAGTGACCCACTTCTGGGATTTCTCCACTGTCAGCTTAGATTTCTACTTTTTTGGGTCTGCCTTAATTAACTACTATTTGTCCCTCTCCTTTCTAGTTGAGGAAATTTTATGGCTGGCACTTCCTTCAACCTTCCTGTCTTTTTGGTCTTACTGTATTTTTAAATTCTTTTGTCCAAATTTTGGTAGAATTTGGGAAGAGAACAACAGTAACGTGTTCAGTGTGCTTTATTATTACTATTTTTTAACCTGAGAGCATATTCAAAGGGTCTTTTATTGTTTGTCTTTTAATTCTTAAAGGCCCAAGAAGAATTATCTGCTCTAAGACAGCAATCTGTCCAAGCCACAGTCTCCCCAGATATTGTCAGTCTTATGGAACAAGAAAAAGAACTTGCATTATCTGACTTAAGAAGGGTTATGGCAGAAAAGGAGGCTTTAAGAGAAAAGTTAAATGTAAGTATGTTATCTGTAATATTCATAAGGTGCCCTGGTGGCACACTGGTTAAAGCATTCAACTGCTAACTGAAAAGTCAGTGGTTCAAACGCCCCAGCTGCTCTGTGGGTTTGAAATTAAGATTGAAAACACTGAAGCATTACAAGGGTCGTATATTCCAATTTATTGAGAAAAAGGAAGTCCTGATTATGAAGTTGCTATTTAGAATGTACAACTGGATCAGAGGGTGGCAAACTGGCATGCGAGCCAAATTAGCCTGCTGCCTGCTTTTTATTGCCATGAACTAAGGATGGTTTTTACGCTTTTAAGTGATTTTTTTAAATATCAAATAAATAATACTTTATGACACATGAAAATTATATGAAGTTCAGATTTCATTGTTCATATATAAAATGTTACTGTATTACCATGCTTATGGATTTACGTACTGTCTATGGCTTCTTTCGTGCTGCAGTGGCAGAATTGAGTAGTTGTGAAAGAGACTGTATGGCTTAAATAGCCTAAGATACTTATTACCTCACTCTTTACAGAAAAAGTTTGCCAACCCCTGAATTCAATACAAAATTCTTTATGTGTAGGGACATTACCTTTTATTTGTATATATGTAAACAATATCTATATTGTTTTTAGGTGTCGTGGGGTTGATTTTGACTCACAGTCACCCTATGTGACAGTAGAACTGCCCCATAGGGTTTTCTAGGCTGTTAGTGTTTATGGAAGCATAAAGCTGCTGGGTGAGTTTCAGCTGCCAGTATGCACTCTGTAAATGATTACTGAATTAAGAAATGTCTAACAGACAATGGGCCTATAAGTTCATGTGAATGATCAGAATTCCCAGGTGTATAGTAGAGCTGACAAGGGGCAAGGTTATGGTCATTACTTGGTCA